CGCTCTGGGCCCAAGCCTGATGTGACGATGGTGGCTGGGAAGACGCCCCAAGCTCGCTCAAGCCAGGCGTCACCGAAGGCCCTCCACGCAGAAAGCGTGACGTTGGCAGCGCGCCGCGCGGCAGCCCAAGCAGCCGGCATCAGCGCGGCGAGCGCGGGCCCAGGGGCCCAGGTGCGCAGGCTGGACAAGTCAGTCAGTGTGAACGACTTTGGCGGAGCCTTCAAGATGCGGCGCAGCATGTCCAGCTCGCCCTTGACGAGGTCGTCCGGCATCGCGAGCAGCTGAGCTAGGAGGGTCAGGACAGAGACCACGGAGACGTTGCACAAGGTGACCATCTCTGCGGTCGGGGCCGGCACGGTCTTGAGCACTGCGACGCGCTGCTTGTGCGTCGTGGCTGCTGCATGCCGTGCGTCCAGGAGATTGGCCCCTAGACCCAAGACGGACCCAGGGCATTTTACTTCGAATGCGATGGTGGAGTCAGCCCAGCTCGGTGCCACCGCCCTGAGCGCCGAGCGGATGGACTCGATGGAGTCTGCAAGGCCTGCCGCGGCGAGCCAGCGTGGCAACAGGACGCACTGCCGCGACTGCGGGCGCAGACACGCCAGGCGCTCCATGGCCTGAACGTGCGCTTCGATGAGGGCGACGAGGCAGATGCCCCACAGCACGACCCCCATTGTCGTCAGCGCAGCTCCGCGTCCCAGCCGGGTCCGACGAATCGGCGCCTCGCGGGGCGGGCGGCTGGCCAGCGAGCAAGAGGGCAGGGTCAGGGCACCGGCGAGGGCCTCCACGACTGGCGCCGGCGCGAGGGCCCTCAGAGTGCCCGCCAGGGGGCCGCCCTGGGCCACGGCCGCGAGGGCCACGCTCGCAGATCGACCGCGAGCCGGTGCGGGTCCAGCAGTGCTGCCTGTCTTGCAGCGCCCGGATGGGCTGGAGGGCAGGGTCGGGGATGGCGAACTGGGCGAGTGCCGCGCAGAGCCAGGCCCGTGCAGGGCCAGGAGGCGCCGCTGCCACGTCGAAGGAGGCGAGGCACGGGCGCCGCTGGGCGAGGGCTTCGGCAACGTCGAGAGTGGCGACCCTCGCCTGGGCATCCAGTCGCCACGCGCTCTCCAGGAAGTTCTGGCTCCTGGCGAAGCCGCGCCGCGTGCTCGGCACGCACCTCTCCGCGACCGCGGGGAGACATCGATCGGCCGTCGCTGCCATCAGCTTCAAGTCGGAATTCTTCAGGGCGAGCGGGCGAGTCTTGGCAAGTTCCCGCGCCACCTGCACGGGCGACGGTGCGTCGTCGGCTTCGGGTGCAGACTGCAGCCGCGACGCGTTCAGCCCCCTCTGGAGTCCGCGCCCCGCACATGAGGACAAGGACGGCTATGCGCGGTTGCTTGATGGCACCAGGTGCCCTCGCCCACGCTGCGCATGGGGCGCCCCCGGGGCTGGGAGCCGTGGGGCGGGCGGGCGGCGGGCAGCCCTCTCCGCGTCGTCGGCATCTGGTAGCGGGTCTGGCAGTTGGGGGATGTGGCACTGCAGGTCGTGGTGCACGTCGTTCTGGGCCGCGAAGATCGGCCCCCAGTGCGCTCGCGGGGCGGCGGCCATGCCAGCGGGGTCCGTCGTTAGTCGTTAGCCCGACGCCCGCAGCTGGCGGGGCGACAGTGCTGCCTGGGGCGGGGGGCTCGGCAAGGCGGATTCCGGGCTGGAGTACGCTCTGGAAGGGGCGCCAGAGCTGCGCCTTCTGAGGAAATCTCGCCGCCCTGCCTTTCCAGAAGGCGCCGCATGCCTGGGCGCCTCGCCGCTGGTCCGCGGAAGCGTCGGCCAGCGCAGCCCGGGGGTCCACGCCGAGCACCGCAGATGCTGCCGCACGAACCGCTGCAACGAATGCCACGGGGTCCGATAGGACGCAGCCAACATCTGAGGTTATGAAGTAGGCCGCCAGCACAGGAGCTGAGTGCACCACCACGCTAAGGGTGCGGCGGTCCTAGCGCCAATGTGAACGGGATGCGGCGTGGAGGACGAGCAAGCGCGTGTCCGGCTTGGACGCTCTGGTACTCAGGTCCGGCTCTCGGGTCAGGGGGAGGAGGTGGGGGAAGAGGAGGAAGGAGGAGGAAGAGAAGGAGGAGGAGGATGAGGAGGAGGAGGAGGAGGAGGAGGAGGAGGAGGAGGAGACGGAGGAGGGGAGGAGGAGGAGGAGGAGGAGGAGGAGGTAGGAGGAGGAGGAGGAGGAGGGGAAGGATGATGATGATGATGCTGATGGATGATGATGATGACTGATGATGATGCTGATGATGATGCTGCTGATGATGATGACGAGGAGGGGGGGAGGGGGGAGGAGGAGGAGGAGGAGGATGGAGGGAGGAGGAGGAGGGCGGAGGAGGAGGAGAGAGGGAAGAGCGCGGAGGTGGATGAGGAGGAGGAGGAGGGAGCAGGAGAAGGAGGAATAGGAAAGTCATGAGTAGTGGAGATGAGGATGATGATGATGAGGAGGAGGAGAGGAGGGGAGGAGGAGGAGGAGGAGGAGGAGGGGAGGAGGAGGAGGAGAAGCAGGAAGAGGAGGAGGAGGGCGGAGGACGAGGAGGAGTAGGAGGCGGAGGAGGAGGATGAGGGAGGAGGAGGGCGAGAAGGAGGAGGAGGAAGAGGAGGAGGAGGATAAAGAGGAGGAGGAGGAGGAGTAGGAGAAGGAGGAGAAGGAAGAGGAGGAGGAGCATGAGCAGGAGGAGGAGGAGGAGGAGGAGGAGGAGGAGGCCCTCTCATGTGTCTTCTGCCACTCCTGGCCCAGTGGTTTTCTCATCTCACTCTCTCCATCTCTGCGTCGACTGTGTGCGAGGAGCGCGATGAGGAGAACGAAGGAATGAAGGACATAAGGACTGAATACAATAAGGAGGGAAGTGAGGAAGGAAGGAAGGAAGGAAGGAAGGAAGGAAGGAAGGCATCAACAGGAAGCCATAATCTGGTCAATAGAGCCCGCCTTCTGAATGGCCATGCTGTCGCCGCCTCTGCTTGGTCGCGGCGCGTCCCCCGCGGACCCGCCCTCGGGGAGAGGGTGCTTCCGCTGGACTGAGGAGGAGACGGATGACTATGATGAGGAGGAGACTGAGGAGGATGATGATGATGCTGATGCTGATTCTGATGCTGATGGTGCTGCTGCTGCTGCTGATGATGATGATGATGATGGTGATGATGAGCAGGAGAAGCAGGAGGAGGATGAGGAGGAGGATGAGGAGGATGAGGAGAAGCAGGACGAGGAGGGTTCGATGAGGCAAGTTCTGGCTTCAGCCTGCCACACTGCGCCGTGAGCAGGATTACCCCTTTATACCGCCGCTAGTCAAGCCAAGCATGGTCCGCCCACCACAGAGTCAAGCATGAATCACTGCCGTTGCAGACGGCACCAAGGGGGCGAGGGACCCTCCAGAAGGCTGCTCCACATCGCTGGGTGCTTTAAGCAAGCCGTGGTTCACTCAGCAATGCCACGGGCCCCTCACCCTAAGCGCCCCCTCTCGTCGGCGGCTCCGCAACTGCTTGGACGGCGCCATTACACTCGCCCAGGAATCAACCGTCAAGAGTCGACCTGGGGGGGCCTCCATGCGTGGGCAGAGCTCCCTGCCCTTTTCTGGTTGACCTGGGCGCCTCTTCTTGATGTGCCGAGAGTCAGTGGTCGATCTCATCCTCCTCCCCCTCAGCTCCTCCTATTTCTTCCTTCTCCTTCTCTCCTCGTGTTGTTCCTCCCCCTCTTACTCCTTCTCCCCCTTTGCCGCCCATGCCGCCGAGGGTGCCCTCCAGCCCCTCCTTCGCCCCTTCCCTCCCCTCCTCTTCAAAACAGGAGGGATGGGAAGGGGGAGAGGAGGAGGAGGAGGAGGAGGAGGAGGAGGGAGGAGGAGGAGGAAGGAGGGGAGAGGAGGAGGAGGAGGAGGAGGAGGAGGAGGAGGAGGAGGAGGAGGAGGAGGAGGCGAGAGGAGGAGGAGGAGGAGGAGGAGGAGGAGGAGGAGGAAGAGGAGGAGGAGGAGAAGGAGGAGGAGGAGGAGGAGCAGGAGGATGAGGAGGAGGAGGAGGAGGAGAAGTTCTCCCCTCCTCGTCGCCACTACCGCTGCCGTCGAGCCCGACTGCGCCGCTGCCGCTGCCGTGGCCGAGAGCCACCACGTGGGCCCACAGGTGCCCGGCGTGCGGCAGCTGCTGCGCCGCCGCGCGCAGCAGCGGCACCGAGGCGGCGGCGAACGACCGCCCCGCGGCCTCCGAAGCGAGCTGGCAGAGGGCCAGGGCCCTGTCCTTTGGGGGGCGCTCCTCCTCCTCCTCGTCCTCCTCCTTTTCCTCCTCCTTCCCCCTCCTCCTGTTCGTCCTCCTCCTCCTCCTTCTCCTCCTCCCAATCCTCCGACACCGCCCAGCGTCATGCACGAGATCACGGCGCGAGGCGTCTTGCCACCCTCGTCTTCCTCCTCCTCCTCCTCCTCCGCCCGTCCTTATCATCCTCCTCCTCCTCCTCCTCCTACCTCCTCCTCCTTCTTTCCTCCTCCTCCTCCTCCTCCTCCTCCTCCTCCTCCTCCTCCTCCTCCTCCTCCTCCTCCTCCTCCCCCTTCTCCGATAGCGCCTTTCGTCATGCAAGAGATCACAGCGCGATGCGTCTGGCCACTCTTCAGCCTCCGGGGGCCCTCGCCGGGCCCCCGGAGCCGTCCAACGACGACGCGGAACGAGAAGCCGATCCCCAGGGAAGGGTCGAGACCTCCAGGGGTCCATAATGACAAACAGTCACGGCGTCGGGGTTCTGGGTTCTGGGATGATCGAAAAGCGAACTTCGAAAATCCAGGTCTCTGGGCGTTTCCATCTTTTCGTGTGTGTGTGTGGGTCTCCGAAAGGTTTCTCGTCGCCGCGGCCGCATTCTCTTTGGAATTCTGGTCCGATCGCATCTCAAGGCTGTTCTGGAGCGGGAGCTTGAAAGGAAGAGGAGGAGGACGGAGGAGGAGGAGGAAGTGAAGGAGGAGGAGGAGGAGGACGAGGAGGAGGAGGAGAGGAGGAGGAGGAGGAGGAGGAGGAGGAGGAGGAGGAGGAGGAGGAGTGAGGAGGAGGGAAGAGGAGGAGGAGGAGGAGGAGGAGGAGGAGGAGGTACGAGGAGGAGGAGGATGATGATGATGAGGAGGAGGAGGAGGAGGACGAGGAGGAGGAGAAGGAGGGGAGGAGGTACGAGGAGGAGGAGGAGGAGGAGGAGGAGGAGGAGGGAGGAGGGAGGAGGAGGAGGAGAAGGAGGAGGAGAAGGAGGAGGAGGAGGAAGAGGAGGAGGAAGAAGAGGAGGAGAAGTATGGAGGAGGAGGAAGAGGAGGAGGAGAGGAGGAGGAGGGGGAGGAGGAGGAGGAGGCAGGAGGAGGAGGGAGGAGGAGGAGAAGCAGGAGGCGGGAGGAGGCGGAGAAGGAGGTGGAGGTGGATGACGATGATGATGATGACGACGATGATGATGCTGATGATGACGATGACGATGATGATGATGATGATGATGATGATGATGATGATGATGATGATGATGATGATGATGATGATGATGATGATGATGATGATGATGATGATGATGGTGGTGATGATGATGATGCTGATGATGATGATGATGATGATGATGCTGATCATGATGGTGATGGCCGTGGTGATGGTGACGGTGATGATGCTGATGATGCTGCTGCTGCTGCTGATGACGATGATGATGAGGAGGAGAAGGAGGAGGAGGAGGAAAGGAGAAGGAGGAGGATGAGGAGGAGAAGGAGGAGGAGGATGGGGAGGTGTTTGAGGAGGTGGAGGAGGAGGAGGAGGTGGAGGAGGAGGAGGAGGTGGAGGAAGAAGAACGCACCGACCAGCGAGAGGTGCGACCCAACTAGAAGGGCAATGGGGGAGGCTGAACGCCTTGCTAGCACATGGGGCGCGGTACCAGATGTATACTCGTCCTCGAAGGGGGAGGGGGGGTGGCACCGACCCTGGCGGGCCCGAAGCCGATCGTGGTTTTCCGACCAGGCTCCAAGCTCCACCGCATCTCCACCGAACGGGGCCACCCCCCTCTGGAGGTCTGTCGGTGGTCCCACTCCCGTGGGGTGGTCGGGGGCGGCCGAGACATGGGCGCCCCTCGTGGGCCTCCCAACGATCCTTCGCACGACCCCGACGCCCACCCCTCCCGCGGCCCCGCCCCCAGAACCAGGCATGCTGGGAGGCGCCATGGGGGGGGGGCATCCAAGCCCATCTTCAGAGCTAGGTGGGCACGGGCACTCTCTAGTATCGCAGGGGCCCGAGATAAAACGAATCTCTTCTTACTGGGGTGTCGACACTGCGAAATCTAAGCCAACTGGCGTTCGCGTTCTGCGGACCGCTGCCCTGGGCAATCTGGCGCGAGAGCAGACTTGCCGACGCTGCCCCTGATCGCGCACACTCATCCGCAGCTATTGCAGAAACCAATCGAACCATGGGGCGCCCCAGCGCTGTCAGTGGCGGCGGCTTCTATGACCGCATGGCCTAGAACGGGCCATCCAGAGAGCTCGGGCCACTCGTCCCTCAAGAGGCCTTCGGCCTCTCCCGAGCCGTGGCCCGTCTCGCGCGCCCCCCCCGCTCTCCGCCCGCTCCCCCGCGCCCAGAGGAAGAACGACAAGGGGGAGAGGAGGGGGCGGGTGGGCGGCCAGTGGCGGCGGCGGCAGCGGGCCGCACCTCCCCGGGCGCGCCCAAAGGATCCTGGGCGGGACCTGTCTCGGGCTCTGGATGGGAGGTCGGGGATGAGGAGGGAAATCGTCGACATCCAGGCGAGTTCCACGTGGTCAGCCCTGATCTGCTCGCGCAGCTCGGCCCCCACCGCAGCGGAGAACATGCGCGCCCTTCCAGCCGGCCTTCTGCATCCAGCGAGGCGACTCCTCCACTTTAGAGGGCTGGCCGGCCTCCTTGGCCAGCAGATCGGCCGCTGCGCTGCCTCGACGCTGCCGACGGGTGATCGGGCCATCCACGAGCTGAGCTCGGGCGGTGTGAAGACTCGGCTCTTTTCGCGGGCGTGGGCCCCTGCGGGCGGTCTCCGACCTCGGCCCGCCAGTGGGCCCGAGCGTTCCTGGGTCCCTGGGCGCCGGGCGGATCTTTGAGGCGGCCCGGGGTGCCAGCGCAATCGCTGCAGATCGTCGAGGGGCCAGCTATCACCGCGTGCCTTGACAGCGCGAGGGTGGCAAAATCCTCGGCATCCCGAGCTATGGCCAATCGTGGAACCGAGAAAAATTAGAATCGGGATCTTGCGGGCGGCGCAGGAACCGACGCGAGGGGCCGGGGAAGACGCGCCGAGCGAACGAATCGCGCGCGCCCCCCCGCCCCCCCAATAAAAAAAACGCTTTCATCTTCTGCGATGCCCTGCGGATGACGTCGTCGAGCCTGTCTCGACGCCGGGCCTCGTGGGGTGGGCATTCGGAACCGCGATGATACACGGCGCCTGCTGCGCCTTCGTAACCCCTGCGCACGTTGGCGAGATAGACATTCCCTAAACATCCGAGCCTGGGCCCCAAAAAACATTGCCCTCAAAGGCCCCGAGACAGGCTTTGCGATGAGAGGTCCAGGTCTCTGAAGGCTTCCCGGCGGCGGCGCTGTGGACGACGCTTCTGCCCCTCTCGTTCCACGCCGCGGCGACGGGGGGGGGCTCGGCAGAAACTCGAAAATGGCGGGTGGGAAACGTTTCAAAATGCCAATGGCGGCGGAGGTCATCCCTGAAGATTCGCGAATCAAAATCCAGCTCCCGATCGACCCTTCTGAGCATCGACGCAGGGGTCGCCAGAGGCTGACGTGCCATCGACCGCGGTTTCGGATGGCATTGGACTTCGGCAGCACCGCGAACGCACGGAATCATAACAGCTTGCGAGACAGTGCGATCCCAAGCGATGTTAACAAGCTCTTTGACCACAGCGGTGGTCACCAATAAGAGAGGGTCACGCAAGCGCAGTTTGGGGCCGCGCAGAAACTTGAAACCCAGGGACGAACAGCGCGAAGTTGACCCCGAGACTTGACCGTCTTGGCGCGAAGCTGGCGCAGCTGGTATGGGGCCACGCCCATGGCATGCGCGCCCCAAGAAGCCTTGGCGATGGGGCCCAGCTCTGAACGCCTTTGAAAAGGCTGTTCCTCGGTCCATGTTGGCCAGCTTCCTTCCAGCCTCCAGACCGGCGAATCAACTCGCCTGAGGTAACCCGAAGTAGCGTCGCTCCCCAGGTCGCGGTGGGTCCGGGCCAGTTCGTCTCGAAGAAGATTCCAGCCAGGCTCCACCTCAAGGCCGTCTAGCAGCCCTGCGCTGGCCAGTGTGAAACAGGCTCTGGGCGACTTTACTGGCAGACGGCGCTAGCTCAACTCAGAGATGATGATGAAATAAGTCTCTGCTCCTGGCTTGCGCGCAGCCACGGGCCCTCCGACGATGTGGGCCGTCAGATTATCGACGACCTTGCTGCGCCTCGACGGCGGGCTCTCGATGCCCCCCCCCCCCCCGCAGGCGGGAACGGTGCATCAACTTGGCCGCTCCTGTCGCCGCCGAACAGGCTGCCGCCGCAGCCCCGCTCGGGGCGATCTCCGAGGACGCGCTGGCAGACCATCTCGCCCACCGAAGTGCGCGGTGCATCGCGCAGAGCGCGCCGAATTGGCCTCCGTCGGAATTCCAATTATCATCCGCCGCCTTGAATTGCATCATGCGAGATGTTCTCGTCGAACATGGCAATGTCACGCTACAGCGTCAGCGACGCCATCTCGCGCCGTCGGGCGTGGGGGCGCAAAGGTTTGTGGGCGTGGGCCGCCTCGTCGGCGCCGCTGGCGGAGCTCTTGCGCCAAAAAGCCCATTGTCCACGGCCTTCTCCCAGGATTTCACGTGCCTTCGTCCGATGCGAGACCGCAGCCGCCCCCAGAATGGCAAGGGCCCGATCGGCCGAGCCCATCCTCGCGGCTCGGGAAGGAAGACCACGATAGTCAGCCAGGGCTACACTCGGCGCGGATGACGCCCCCAGGAGTTCAACAGCGCGGCCGCGCGCTCGACGCACTCATCGGGCAGGGCTTTAACAGGCCGCCCGTGGAATTTGCCCCGCCCCAGCGCCGTCGACTTCGAGGATGTTTTGGCTGCGGCTCGAATCTCGCCGCCGCGATCGGCGGTGGAGCCCAAAGAAGAGGGGTGCGCATTGCGCCCGCGCAGCTCCGAAACCCAGGAACGGGCCCATTCCTGCGCTGTACTCCCCGCCGCTGCTGCTCCAGTAACTGCACGGCCAGTCTGCTGATCAGTGGTGGGTGGCGCTTGAAGGGACTTG